CTTATAAGTTAAATGATATTCTGTATTTACAAATATAGCTACAAATGGTTTAATAAAGTACTACTATGACTGCTTAAAGGGAAAAAAAAATAAAAAATAAAAATTGTAAAAAATACACTTTGTAACTTTTGGTAGCAAAGAACAAACTTGAATCTACATATTAAAGTTTATTTGATTTCTGTAAAAAATGGATTTTAAATATATTATAAAGAAAACATAGAACTATAAGATAAAAAAAAACTGATAAATTTATGAAATTAATACCCAATCATTATCAACTATAGTTTTACTATAGATATTATCAATATCTTCAGTTTTGACCCAAACTTGATCTTCGTTAGTAAGATCAATTAATTCAAAATCATTTCATATTACTGATCCATATTAAAAAGTAAATGATTTTGATTATTAGAAATTCGACAACAGCCAACCAAGTTTTTAATTAAATTCGTATTAACATTTTTCCATGCATTTTTTACTCACATTGCCATCATAGAGTATGATGGTCGTTTAATTCGCCCAGAAGGTGTAAGTTCATGTACTTCATTAGCCATCTACTCAATATATTGATAATGAAGTTTTGCTTTAAATGAATAGTTTATTATAACATCTAATGTTTGAAGTTTACTTGTTAAACTACCAGGTATTACTGTGATATCAGTTATATTTTCACTAAAATTTTTTTTAACCAAATCGGTAATATGACCTCTAAAAGAATCTAATACTAAAAGTGAACATTCACATCTATACATGTTTTGAGTAAGCCATACATTATTGGTTTACCAAATCATTTCTTGTTCATTGCATCATCCTTTCTCATTTATATGAATATGGATACCTTGAAAAAATTGTTGATAGGATATATTTTTTAACTTGAAAATATAAGTTGCTGGCAATTTTGTACCATCTGCCAAATAACTTAAGATCACAGTAAAACTTGATTTTTCATTTCTAGTAGTTCTTATACTAACAGTTTTAGTATCACAATTATCTAAAGTAACAGCATTTGGCAGATCAAAAGTAACAAGTGTTTCATCCATATTATCAATTAATCTTAATAGATAATTATTTTTATATTGCTTAAGTGTAACATAACTCAAAAATCATTGTTGTTTTTCAATTAGATCTTTGGTAAGATGTTGTGCAATATTAGTTTTATGTCTATTTGAAAAATTATAATGAGACATAAATGCATCAAGCCATTTGCGAAAAAAACCAAACTAGTTTATATTAGGATATAAAGTTATAAATCGAGATTGTTAAGTAAGACTTTTTGCTTTTTGAAAAACCATTATACAGGTTACTGCATTGCATTGATCTCGAGTTTCTTTTATCCAAACTGCTAAGTCTACTTCAAGTTTGAGAAGGTTAGCTTTTTTCTCAGGATGTAATTTTTCAATATGCAGAACAGCCATCATTAATTGATCTTTAAGGTTTCTCCATTTATGAACTTGTTTAGGTTGAATATTAAACTTTCGTGCTGTACCATATACACTTTTAAATTGCTCAAGATAATGAATGACCATAAGTTTTTCTTTTATAAACCATTGGCGATGCATATGTTGTGTAAAACGGGAACATCATGTTGATTGATTTGCATGAACCATTTTTTATTGATGAAAATAAATTATCAAAGTAACTTTTTTAAATATTTTTACATTTGTAAAGCATGAACACTCATTTATGTTTTAATTCATTGTTATAACTTTTACTATTATTTAAAACTCTCTTTTATTAAAGAACATTAATTGATCTTTAAACTAAACTGTACATTGTACACTGTTATCAATAACAAAATAAAAAATACTTGATAATTTAAAATATTTTTCTTGACTTAATTTGTCATATTGCACACTGTTACTAATAATGGAACAAAAAACTACTTTATATACTGTTATCAATAACGAAATAAAAAAACTTGATTCAAAGTATTTTTCTTGGCTTAAATTGTTGCTTCGCACATTATTACTGATAGAATAACAGAACAAAAAACATTAATTAATCATAATTGGGTAGCTTTAAAAAAAAGACGAATACTGGTATTTACCTTTACTATTGTTAATACATTTGTTATATGTATTTTTGATTGGATGATATTAAAACAAAAAAAATTTTATGCAGGTCATAATGTGCGGACCAAAATATCCCCCCGTGTAAAATACCCATCATAACTGTATATTTGTAAAATACCCTGGGTACTTAAGTCAGTGCTATATGGAACAGGAGGAACCGTCGATGTTACACGACTGATTCTTCACCCAGTGTGCAGCATATAAAAAAATCATTTTACAATACCAGATCATTCTGCTAGTACATGTTATGGTTATAATCCCACATCATTTTTATTATAATAAAATGGTGTGGGATTATAATCATAACATGTACTAGCGGAATGATCTGGTATTGTAAAATGATTTTTTTATATGTTGCACACCGGGTGAAGATCAGTTGTGTAACATCGATGGTTCCTCCTGTTCATTGTAATAGAGCCATTTTTTAAATAATTTTAAAAATGAATTAAATAATTATTAATTGTTAGCTGTTTTAACAAATTATTGAAAAAAATTGACTATTGTCATGCTTAGCTAATTGGGAACTTCAGGTTAAAAAAAAAAATAGTATGTAAATTTAGAATTTAATTACTATATTTTCTCAGAACAGTGCGCAGGGTGTAGTTCTTGAATCAAGCTTATTCTAGACTAAAATTTAAAATAACGCCCATGGGCGTCATTCCGCAAAAATTATGATCTTCTAAATAATGTTTGATTTATTAATTGAGGTAACACCCTACCATTTTGTTTTAATATACACAAATTAAACATACATATGAAGATTGATAAAATTCGAACACTGAAGCTTTACGCATAATAAATGAGAAATTAAAAAAGGAAATATTCCATTCACTTAATTATAACTAATTACAATCAGAATTGGAAGTGTCCTACAATCATGGTAAATTTTACGAAATCCATTTAACTTCAGATCTTAAAAATCAATTAAAAGCCTAAATTTTAGTTCCAGAATCTTAAAATTTTTCTTTAAAGTTAAGATGAAAATAAGATTTATTTTTGTTTTAATTACTCTTCTACTCCAAATTTTTTATTCGGGCAATGAAGTATATGCTTTTTTACCTGCTGCGAGATACGGGCACAATGCAGTTTTAGTTAAAGATAGGCTTTATTTTTATGGTGGATCTTCCGGATATTCTTCCTATAATTTTTTTTACCTTGATGTTTCAAAGTCTTTTGATTTAACCAATACTTCATCAATGCATTGGACTGATCTTAGTTTTGTTACAAGTATATCCCGAACTTATGGTGCTTCCGTTGTTAATAATAATTCTATTTATTTTTTTAGTGGTAGCTATTCATTAAGTCGTGTTGATAAATTTGATACGTTAACAGAACAATGGGTTACATTTAATTTTTCAGGAAATGCAATATTGGCATCGACATACATATCTTCTGTTCAAGGCGTTATTTCAAATAACACAATTTATTTCTTTGGTGGAAGCACTCAAATCAGTATTACTCAAAGTATTATAATGTTAAATACTTCAAGTTTCACCTTTTCGTCATTATCATTGATAACTGCGCCTCCTCCAATATCAAGTTATACTGCAACGTTGCTACAAAATGGTGATATTCTTTATATTGGTGGATATTTAAATAATAATGTTTCTATCAGTAGTTCAATGGCACAGGTTTGCTTTAATAATTATAATTTTAATAATTTTTTAATTAGAATTCTTATCACCTTATTTTTTTAACAGATACCAGCATTTAATATAAATGACAACTCATGGAAAACAATAGTAAGTATTAGTGTAATTTTTAATATCTAATTGCTAAATTATTTAACTAAACCGTTTAAAATTGCTATATGATCAATTATATCTAGCCTACTTCAGGGCAAATTCCAACACTTCCATATGGACACACTTCAACTTTAATACGTATTGTATAACTTTTATAAATTTACAAATAACATAGAAGTCATTATTTACAGTACGATTATTAACAACGCTTTCAACGGGTTAACTTCTGTTTAGCTCAGCATGACCTAATTTTAGTAATAGGAGGATATCCATTAGGTCGAATAACTTCCTTAAATATTAAGACCTTTTTATGGGCAAATATTACGGCTTTGAATGACGGCTTTATACCTGGATTATATTATCATACCGCTACATTAATTAATAATTATGTTATTATTGCATATGGTAATCTATTATATAAGAAATTTTATTTTAAAGTTACAGAATCTTTATTTGAAATTAATAATTATTTTAAATTTAGGGAACTATGATACTTATAATCCTTATTATCCTACCATTTATTATAGTGGCTATAATAATAATATTTCTCTTCTTGATATAAATCAAAAAGATAATTATAAATGGGTTAATTCATATGTTATTCCAAATAATACCCAAACTCCAACCTCACTCCCAACTCACCTTGATCAAAGTAATGATATTACTCCTAGCCAAATTTTTGGTATTGTTGGTGGAGTTATTGGTATAATTTCAGGATTGGTGGGACTTGTTCTAGTATCTTTTGTTTGTTATACATACCATAGAAATAATCTACATGATAATAATAGTAATGAACTAATAGTAGATCATTACCCGGTGTCCAGTATTTCATGATCATACTAGTATAATAGGTGGCGTGAAGTACCACCCCGTTTATTTTTTGTGGGTTTTATATGTCAGTGAAATCAGGTGATTACATATTGTGTCATAAATAAAATTGAATCGCAAATATAATCATGAGGTTATAAGCATGTTTCAAAGAGATCCAAAACTTATTTCTAATCGATCAGTGTCGCTTTTATTTTGGAAAGTACTTTTTTTTTATAGATTTAGGACATAGTATTATCGTATTTAAGTTTAAAGAATTATTCATATATATTTTTTTGGAAACAGATTTATAAATTTTAGGGTAATAAAAGTAAATTATTAAAGTATTTAGTAAAAAGTATTGAACAGTGGAGAATATTGGTGATAAGAACTTGGTAAAGGTTTTAAACGTTGATACATACGTTAATAAAAGAAGTAGGCGTTGTACTGTTTATTTAAAAAAAAGTGTTTTTACATAAATTATTTTGAGTTACATCTTAAACATGAAAAGAAATAACAATATCAACGCTCTTTTCAATTTAGTTATTATAAAGTGTTTAAATTTAAAACTGATTATAAAGTTTATCAATGATAGATCGAAAATAATGTAACAGAGGTTGTACATACTTTATTCTATTTTTGATATATCATGGAATCAAAATTGAAATGAGATTTGTTTGACTGGATTATACGTAAAACCTGTTTCTTTTTTATTCAATAGCAAAGAGAGAAAAAAAGGTAAAATTTTTTTTTTAAAAAAAAACAAATACAGTATACAAAGATAGCAGTCAAGGATGAAGTATTTATTCTTTATCGGATTCAATATTTGTGGGTAAATATCGTGGATTTTTAGCAGTAAATGTAGATCAGATAGGACGTTTTTTTTGATTTTTGATAGTATTTTTTGTGTAATTTACTTTTTTTGATTAGTTTTTCAAGATCTTCTTGGTTAGGCACAGTAAAGTTAAGGTTACTTGTTTCAGATTTGTAGTCATTAGTGTTAGTAAATTCTATATCAGTAAGTTAGTCAGTTTCTTCAGATCTTTTATGTTTTATAGATGGTTCATTCATTTTTAACATCACTTGAAGTTGCTGGCAGTGTTTGAGCATAATTGTATCTTTTAAATTTTTAGCAATGCTTTAGTGATGTGCAAGAGCTTAAATCTTGTTGAATTAGTCAAAATTGATTGAATCTAGAGACTGTTTGCTTCAGAATTTATTTTTTTAATATTAGTATAGTTAATGTTCTTTGCATTAACATAGAACTTATTATTTATAATTTCCATTTGGTCAATTACAAAATAATCTTTCTAGTAGTTGAATAGGTGTTTTGAAATGCTCAAACTGCAAATTAGTATGCAGAAAAACTACAAAATTGTATAGTTATAATCTTTATTAATATAATTAATTATAAACATTTAATTACAGAATTATTGTATTTTAATTGTAGGTAGCATTTAGTATAAAGTTTCTACTAAACATACTTTTAAAAGGCACCTATTTGAATCTGAAACTTTGTTATTAATAGTTAAGTGAGCTAATGTTACAACTAACATCTGAACGTAGTATTAATATACAACATCATTATATTTATATTGATATTGCTTAGTATTATAGTATTATTACTAATAATTTTATAAATTTGTAATATAATTACTTATAATTATAAAATAAATTTATGAAATTATTATTTTTATATCTTATTATTGTAAAAATTATTATTTAATATAAAATAATATTAAAAAAACAACAGTTTACTCTTTTCAATGATCTTCTGCATCAATTTTTCCACACATACTAACCTATAAAAATTATATAGTTAGTATGTTTATATATAACAAAACTTTACTGTATAACATTTGGGTTCAAGAATTTCAAATTACATATAGGTCATATAAAAAAGAGTTGAAAAAAACAGCTTCTTGTGAGTTTGGTTCTCTAGTAAAAGTCTATAAAGTTATTAAAAAAGTAATATTGGCTACAATCAAGGAAGTTTTTTCAAGCTATATCTGAACAGCAGCAAAGATAGAAGCTTGCTTGAATATATTATTCTATATAATATAAACTCCTATACTCATTATAGTTGGTATTTTAAAAATTTCTTTCCTACTTGTTTCTAAGAAATTTTTATTAAAAAAAGAACAATTTAGTTTATTTTCATCGAAATCAACATTGTTAATCTTTCTAAATCAGGATTGTTTATCAGTTCTATTCAAAAAAAGCCCATGTTGCAGATAAAACATGAGTACACATCTTGGAAAAAACACAACAATGAGACAAGATTGGAATTTTTAGCAAAGATGTGATGATTGTTTAAAATATGACAAGTATTAAATGTAAAATCTGATGAAAAGTATAATGAGTTGTATATGAAGATGGATTCAGTGACAAGATGTTATAGTATCTGGTACATGAAAAATTCTCTGCCTGTTTAGTTTTAGTTGAATTGTTTCTCTTAGGATATAAGTTTTAGTATTAAATATGTTAATTAGATAGAGTTAAAGTAGAGATTACTATATTTAGTAATATATAATTTTTAATAGACTGACATAGCCTTTATAATTAGTGACTATTTGTTTGGCCTTTATCAGCAATTCTCTTCCCTTTCATTCCTTGATATTGGTTTTTTTTATATTTCTCTCCTATATATATTATTTTTTATTACATTCTCTTTCAATAAGAAATTTTTTTTTGGTTTTTTATCTTCCTACAAATGAATGGTATAAGATTGGTGCTGTTCAATTATAGGATGACAGACAGATGAGCTTGATCCAGACTTTAGCAAGTCTAGTACAACAGGTTACTTGTAGGTGCCAATTGGAGTAACTGTATAATGATAGTATATAGAGTTAGATATAGTTCTATTTATATATTATCTGTACTAAATATTTATAAATAAACTTCTAATTGGTTAACCATCATGGCTGCCAAAGACTAAAAAAAATATATATATATATATAAAATAATATGTATTCATATAGAATCAAAATTAAAAATATAAAAAATAAGGATGCAAATCATTAACTCTTTCTGATGATCACTTATATTAAATTTCTGCTACAAACATTTGACTCTTATTCAATATTTTATTAAGTAAACTGCTTTTGGACATCTAAATAAATTTGTTTCTAATACAATTTTATACTTGGGTTGCCACATTTTATATCTCTAAATCTTTTTTTAACAAAGATATATTTAACAAACTAAAAAATACTTCTATTCAAATTATCTCAATATTCTACTAGGTTAACTGCTCTGGTGACTTAGAACAAACTGAAAGAGCTTATTATCAACTTCATTTTGATTTATATATCATCAAAAATAGCCTAAAATTGACCAATTTATCAAAAAATTCCTTTAAACTCTTTTGTAAAACTTTATATTTTATTTTTACAATTTTTTTTTATTTTTTTGAGGGCTGTCTCTAGTTTGCCCTATTTAAACTCACCAAAACAGGATTACAAATCAATATTACATTATTTGAATTAATCTATATTGTTTATAAATTTATATTCTTTTAATTTTATACAACTTTTTGTTCAATATAAATTATGACTTTCAGATCTGCAAGTGTTATATACTCTGTATAATACTTATTTGACACACTCTGTGTTTATCATATTACCTTATTTGTTACACTTAGTTATCTGTTACACTCTATTATTTGTCATACCTCTTATTTGTGACACACTTATATCTTTCAAATCATCTCATATCCAAGATTCTTATAATCTATTTTATTTTTATCTTTTAAGTCAAAATTCCAACTTTTATTAATAAAAATCCAGATTCTTATAATATTGACTACTATTATGATAAATACAAAGATCATCATAGTGTAGGAATGATTGAAAGAAAACTCCAATCTCTATGAATACTTTCTGCAGATATCAATTTAATTAATTGTGATGCTTCTGTTAAAAAAACACCATTACTTTAAAGTTTCTCAACAACCTACTATTGTTATATGTCTCTGTAGAGCATATCATATTAGTTTTATTTTTAGATTCTACAAAATTTCTCATTTCACATTTGTTGATCAATCTACAACTCAAACTACATTTACTATGTCTGCAAAATGATTTACAAAAATTACTGATAAATTGTCTGCTTCATCTAACTCTAAACACAACAATCAGATATCTCTTCAACTAAACTTCACATCTTATTTTCTGGCTTCCAAATAGATCCTACATCAACTGCAATCATTGCACATTCTCAACACTATTATATATATTTTATATATGTAATTAAAAATATTTTTTGTATCATAACTGAACAAAACAATCATGCTTCAGACTATACTATTTGCACTATTTTTAAAAATAATCTATTACATAGACTTTGTGTTTCTGGCTTATTAAACATTAAACTTAAAACTCTTGTATAAACTTCATCTTTAACATTCAAACAATAAATAACTACAGCTATAATCAAATCAAACTAATTAGTCTAAACAATTAAACTTCTTCTTTTATTTCTCAAAAACAAATTATTTCATCTCTTAATCTTAAACAATAAATTATCCTTACTTTTATTAAACTTTGACAAATAAAATCTGTTGACAAAATCCAACTTTTTATTTTCTTTTTTTTCAAAAAAAAGAAAAATAATAAATAATAAAAACAAAAGAAAAAAGAAAACCAAAGAAATACTAGCAATGATCTTGACTGGTTTAAAGAATATCTAGTAATGAACTCAATAAAAAACAATACCAAATTTAACAATCCTATTACTCAACAAGTTTTTATTTTTATTAAACCATATCTTATTGATATTTATCTAGAAAAAATTATCCAACTAGTATCTGACAAAACTCCTAAATCAAAACTTAATTATAAATATTTAGTTAAAACTTTAGAAGACAAAAAACCTAAATTTTTAACTAATCTTATCTATGAAGCAAATTCTTCAATTAACAAATCAACATCTATCCTATTTAAACTATTCTATTCTTTATTTATTTCTCTTCTTCAAGAATTTACTACAACCCTATTTACTTAACTAAATTATTCAAAAATCTTTGC